CAAAGACACTCCATGCTAGTCCTTATATAAAGTACAATATCACAAAGACATTCCATGCTAGTCCTTATATAAAGTACAATATCACAAAGACAGTCCATGCTAGTCCTTATATAAAGTACCATATCACAAAGACTCTCCATGCTAGTCCTTATATAAAGTACAATATCACAAAGACAGTCCATGCTAGTCCTTATATAAAGTACAATATCACAAAGACAGTCCATACTAGCCCTTATATAAAGTACAATATCACAAAGACAGTCCATGCTAGCCCTTATATAAAGTACAATATCACAAAGACATTCCATGCTAGTCCTTATATAAAGTACAATATCACAAAGACACTCCATGCTAGTCCTTATATAAAGTACAATATCACAGACACTCCATGCTAGCCCTTATATAAAGTACAATATCACAAAGACAGTCCATGCTAGTCCTTATATAAAGTACAATATCACAAAGACATTCCATGCTAGTCCTTATATAAAGTACAATATCACAGACAGTCCATGCTAGTCCTTATATAAAGTACAAAGATAGCTCTGACAGAATAATACAATAACCTCCACACTGTTGTCATAATACATATTTTTATCTCGGAGCACATTTGCCCCCAATGAAGACATGCATGCATTTAATTATGCATTCTTTTCATCGGGTGTATATCTGAAAATAGTTGGCAAAAGCTGTAGATCTATTGCCTGAAGCCACTCTTCACCCTACCTCCAGTGCCTTCTAACCCAGCTTAAACTTTATGTGACTGTCCAATCACAGATTTCCCAATGCAGCTCAATGAGAAGTCTTTACAAGGCGGAAGCTCTACCCAAGTGGAGTTTAGGTCCACCAAGCTAAGCAAACCAGGAAATCACAGGATCTGTTATCTGCTTGAAAGTCAGGAGGGTGTAACCAGGTTAGTTTATAAATGTCTCAATTTCTATAGAAATCTGCACTTTTGGTAAAATAAAAAATAAAAAAATTAAAAAAGACATGCTCTTCAAACATAAAGTTTTTAAACAGGCTAAAGTGCATTAGGGGTCTGAAGAAAGCTCTCATTTTAGTAAATATCCCAGTCAGTGTCACTTCAGTTAGCGTATTCCTTGATGCCCTTCTTTATCTTTCACTTCAAGGAAAGGCTAAATTTGAGCATGTATATATTTGTTTGGGGGAGAAGGGGTCTATTCAAAAGAGCATAGTTTTATCCTCCAGTAGCTCCTAAAAAAAAATAAAAAATGTGACTACGATTTATATTGCTCCTCCTTCACCCCAGATAAATTAGGACAATGATTAGAGTAATTTTTTTTTTAATTGGTAGTAGACAGTGTTGTGCTGATTTAAGACCGATTTCTGGTTTGGTTGGAACAAAGTATATCAAATACTAAACAAAACCATGTCACGTAATTTTGCACACAGGGCATTTTTAAAATTGAGGAGTGAAATAATGAACATTCATATAAAAATTGGAAAAAAAAAGGATTGACAACTTAGCTCATAGAAAAACAGTTTAATGCGTTAAATTACAAATGATTTCAATTTAAAGTTTAAATTCACAAAAACGCACTCCCAATGAAGCATAACAGCGCTTAAACTTTAAATGTAACCATTAAATTATTGAATTGTGTAACATTTTCAACATTCTGTAGTGTGCAAGATAATATGCAACCATTAAATCACTGAAATACATGACATTTTGTAGCATTCTGTATGCAAGAGAACATACAATATAATGAATATAATGGCCTCTGGGTGTTGAAAACAGCAATCAATTAAGTTATGTGTTTGATGTAATGCATAGAATCGCTTATAAAGCCTCTAATTTGTTTTATATTGGACACTTGGTTCCTTTAGATTCAACGTATGTAACCAAATAATGCTCATTACTAAATACACACACACACACACACACACACACACACTCAGGGCCAGATTAAGAGCCCAGTGGGCCTGGTGCTGACTATTATGACGGGCCTAATTACAGAATCATATCGACCAAAAACAGTAAAACACTCCCAAGCATCATGTATATGATGGAGATGGTGCTGGAGAGAAAGAAAACAGCAGCTATAAGAAAAGGCTAATCTCTCTCTAATTTATGTTTTCATCTTTCAAGTAAATCCATAACCCCTAACAGCAGTGTCCAGTCAAGGAGGAAGTCAATGGGCATGGTAAAAGGGTGTGTCACTGACACAAATCACGTAACCTGCCAGAAGGGGCGAACATGCCCAAAAAGAGGACATGTCTGCTCAAAGAATTAGAAGGCCAGCCTGGCATGAATGCATGTCAGGCTGCCTGCCAATCATGCAGCTGGCCAACTAAGGGCATACTATGCAGACAGCACCCTGAGCTTGGCATAAATGCATCTAATGATGCGCTCACTCAATGCGCACACTGACTGGGATATTTCTAAGGACTGTCCCCTAGCACTCGCTGGTCCACTTGTCTCCTTACCTTCTTACTAGCAGGCAGAAGCTCCTGGTATATGGTCTGGGACAGAGAAAAGCTGTATGTAGTGAGTGTAGAAGAAAGGGAACATGCCACAGTGTTAGAGAGACCAAAGTCAGCATTACCTTAAAGGATCACTATAGGGTCAGGAACACAAACATGAATTCATGACCCTATAGTGTTAACACCACCATCTAGCCCCCCTGGGCCCCTCATGTCTCCATAAATATAGCAAAATCTTACTATATTCAAGCCTGAAGCTGTAACTCTGCATGCTGTTAGACTCATAAAAACAAGCAGTCTGCTGACATCATTAGAAGTGGTGGCCTGATCCAATCATAGTGCTTCCCCATAGGATTGGCTGACTGACAAAGAGGCAGATCAGGGTCAGAGCCAGCATGATTCAAACACAGCCCTGGCCAATCAGCATCTCCTTATATAGATGAATTTAATTAATTAATCTCTATGAGGAAAGTTCAGTGTCTGCATGCAGAGGGAGGAGACACTGAATGTTTGGATGCATTTTAGGCAGCCATGACCCAGGAAGGATCTCTAACAGTCATCTAAGGAGTGGCCAGTGAAGTTATCACTAGGATGTAATGTAAAGACTGCATTTTCTCTGAAAAGACAGTTTTTACAGCAAAAAGCCTGACGGTAATGATTCTACTCACCAGAACAAATTCAATAAGCTGTAGTTGTTCTGGTGACTATAGTGTCCCTTTAACTATATTAATTGTCAGCCAGTCCACACAAGTTTTGTTCCCATACATCCCACTTAAGTTTCCATACTTAAGTAAGAGTATGTGAAAAGTAGTTAGGGTTGCCACCTTTCTTGGAAAAAAAAGGAGTGACATAAGAAAAAATGCTGTAAAATCACCAAAAAAACTATTAGTTTGATTCTGCTGTATAGATGGATTCCTCCCAGTGCCCCTATGTCTCCCAGTGCCCCCATGACTCAGTGCCCCCATGTGTCGATTTCTCCAGGTCTCAGTGTTCCTATGTATCAGTGTCTCAGTGCCCCATGTCTCCCAGTGTCCCCTAGTGTCGTGTCCCCAGGTCTCCCAGTGATCCTATGTATCACAGTGTCTCAATGCCCCATGTCTCCCTGTGTCCCCATGTATCCCAGGGTCACTAGGACACTAGGAAGACGGGGAGACCTGGGGACATGGGGAGACCTAGGGACACGGAGACATAAGTGACACTGGGAGACTAGGGAACTCTGGCTGGGACACATGGGGACAATGGGAAAATAGGGGACACTTGAAGATATGTGGACACAGACATCAGGGACACAGACACTAGAGACACTGGCTGGGGGATATTGATACATGGGGACACTGAGACACCAGGGCCACAGACACTAGGGACACTAGCTTGGAGACATGGGGACATTGTGACACTTTAGGCAATGAGAGACATGGAGGCACTAGGAGACATGGAGACAGTGAGACACTGGCAGACTGGGAGACTAGGGGTCACTGGGAGACTAGGGATCACTGAGACACCAGGAGCACTGGCTGGGAGACATGGGGACACTGTGTCCCCATGTGTCTGTGTCATAATATCTCCCAATGCCCCTTAGTGTCTCAGTGTCTGCCATAATATCTCCCAGTGCCCCTTAGTGTCTCAGTGTCTGCCATAATGTCTCCCAGTGCCCCTTATTGTCTCAGTGTCTGCCATAATGTCTCCCAATGTCCCTTAGTGTCTCAGTGTCTGCCATAATGTTTCCCAGTGCCCCTTAGTGTCTCAGTGTCTGCCATGTCTCCCAGTGTCCCTTAGTGTCTCAGTGTCTGTCATAATGTCTCCCAATGTCCCTTAGTGTCTCAGTGCCTGCCATAATGTCTCCCAATGCCCCTTAGTGTCTCAGTGTCTGCCATAATGTCTCCCAGTGCCCCTTAGTGTCTCAGTGTCTGCCATAATGTCTCCCAGTGTCCCTTAGTGTCTCATTGTGTGCAATAATATCTCCCAATGTCCCTTAGTGTCTCAGTGTCTGCCATAATGTCTCCCAGTGTCCCTTAGTGTCTCAGTGTTTGCCATAATGTCTCCCAGTGTCCCTTAGTGTCTCAGTGTCTGCCATAATGTCTCCCAATGTCCCTTAGTGTCTCAGTGTCTGCCATAATGTCTCCCAATGTCCCTTAGTGTCTCAGTGTCTGCCATATCTCCCAATGTCCCTTAGTGTCTCAGTGTCTGCCATAATGTCTCCCAGTGTCCCTTAGTGTCTCAGTGTCTGCCATAATGTCTCCCAATGTCCCTTAGTGTCTCAGTGTCTGCCATAATGTCTCCCAGTGTCCCTTAGTGTCTCAGTGTCTGCCATAATGTCTCCCAATGTCCCTTAGTGTCTCATTGTCTGCCATAATGTCTCCCAGTGTCCCTTAGTGTCTCAGTGTCTGCCATAATGTCTCCTAATGTCCCTTAGTGTCTCAGTGTCTGCCATAATGTCTCCCAGTGTCCCTTAGTGTCTCAGTGTCTGCCATAATGTTTCCTAATGTCCCTTAAGTGTCCCAGTGTCCCTTAGTGTCTCAGTGTCTGCCATAATGTCTCCCAATGTCCCTTAGTGTCTCAGTGTCTGCCATAATGTCTCCCAATGTCCCTTAGTGTCTCAGTGTCTGCCATAATATCTCCCAATGTCCCTTAGTGTCTCAGTGTCTGCCATAATATCTCCCAATGTCCCTTAGTGTCTCAGTGTCTGCCATAATGTCTCCCAGTGTCCCTTAGTGTCTCAGTGTCCGCCATAATGTCTCCCAGTGTCCCTTAGTGTCTCAGTGTCTGCCATAATATCTCCCAATGTCCCTTAGTGTCTCAGTGTCTGCCATAATGTCTCCCAATGTCCCTTAGTGTCTCAGTGTCTGCCATAATATCTCCCAATGTCCCTTAGTGTCTCAGTGTCTGCCATAATGTCTCCCAGTGTCCCTTAGTGTCTCAGTGTCCGCCATAATGTCTCCCAGTGTCCCTTAGTGTCTCAGTGTCTGCCATAATATCTCCCAATGTCCCTTAGTGTCTCAGTGTCTGCCATAATGTCTCCCAATGTCCCTTAGTGTCTCAGTGTATGTCTCCTTGCAGCCTTTCCCCCATCCCTTACTTCCCTGAGCTGTAGGCTGTCTCTGCAGGGTGGGAGTTGCTGTCTGGACTCTCTGTAGCTGCACCCCTGCAGATCAGTGAGTATAGATAGGCAGGGAGGGATATGCTGGAACGTCCTTTCCCTGCCTGTCTCCACACACAGCGACCCCTACTGGCCAGTGCTGGTATTGCATAGTAATCTCTTGTTTATTCTGAGAAAAATACCAGCATTTGTATTGCCAGTATCACTGCAATTGGCACCAGCCAGGCAGCCTCAAATACTGGCTGTGCCAATAAAATAAAAGCCAGGTGGAATACCTAAGAGTAGTGTGTAAAAAAAAAAAAAAAAATTGTACAAAAAAATATATATTTTTTTTTTTTAAATCAATGGGCCTATTCCATGGGCCTGGGCCTGGAGCTGCAGCTCCATCAGCCCCTATGTTAATCCGGCCCTGCACACACTGTATATGCAATGCACAGTAAATGGGAAAATGGCACACAATATAAACAGATCACATTAAATACAATTGCTGCCACAAGTAACTACTCTTAGAAGTGCGTTTCAGAATGACATATATATATTGAACTATCAACAGTGTGCATTGACTGTATATCTGTCCAACTTCTTCCGTCCTTCTAGACACAGAATTTAGCAAACACGTTTATCTGTTTCTAAGGAATGACTAACACAATATAATTTTCTTAGCTTAAGTCAAGTCACCACACAATCAGTGATCCACATATCATCTTAGCAAGTGATCAGATACAGTCTGGGGACCTGAATTTATTAATTGGGGGAAAAAATAGCATAACATTTATTTGAATCACTGTATTATATTTATTTAAAGGACCACTATAGTGCCAGGAAAACATACTCGTTTTCCTGGCACTATAGTGCCCTGAGGGTGCCCCCACCCTCAGGGTCCACCTTCCGCCGGGCTCTAGGGTGCAGAAGGGGTTAAACTTACCTCTTTCTCCAGCGCCGGGTGGGGAGCTCTCCTCCTCCTCTTCGCCTCCTTGGCTGAATGCGCATGCGCGGCAGGAGCTGCGCGCGCATTCAGCCAGTCCATAGGAAAGCATTCACAATGTTTTCCTATGGATGCTGGCATCTTCTCACTGTGAAAATCACAGTGAGAAGCACGCAAGCGCCTCTAGCGGCTGTCAATGAGACAGCCACTAGAGGCTGGATTAACCGATTTATAAACATAGCAGTTTCTCTGAAACTGCTATGTTTATAGAAAAAAGGGTTAACCCTAGCTGGACCTGGCACCCAAACCACTTCATTAAGCTGAAGTGGTCTGGGTGCCTCTAGTGGTCCTTTAAACAAGGAATGTATAGCTAGTACATAAATAGAGAATTAAACCACATTTGTTGTATATAGATTGTTGTTCAGGGATAGTACACATTTGAACAATATTTTGTTTCCTGTATTGTTCATCATTAGCAGACACCGTTCTTACTCATGAGCTTTTCAGTAAACCGTTACTGTAACACATCACTGTTGTCAGTTAATTTGTTGCAGAAACAAATTACCACCAGGTTTATAATATTGCAAACTATTTGCCTATCACTAATAACCACTGCCCCTAAAGATACCAACCCCTTGTCTTTTTGGTGGCTTGCTTTTGAAGCATGAAAAAAACAACAACATACCTAAGTGTGCACAGTTCACCCTGTGTGACCAGTAGTGACAGGGTAGTAGCCTTTGACCAGTAACACTTAATTATATTAAAATATGATGTATGGATGTAGCTGTTGTTAAACTCTTTATATTAAGCCAGAAGTTGGTGTTACGTTTTCTTGGGTTACTAGCTGTCAGTAATGATTAGCAACAGGGTTAGAACACAGTTTGAAACAGTCTATACCGGGTCTTGTAGGAAATAGTGAATGCTGCAAGCCACTATTTAGTACCTGGATTTTAGTAACAGCAGCTAGTAACCATGTCGCTGCTAAAATTTTGTTGGAAACCGTCACTATTCACAAACAGGTACGGTATCAAGTAGCAGCTGGTCACTAAAATGTTGAACAAAGATATAGGAATTGGAGTTTAAGATAAAACACAGTATAATAGAGATTTCTATCCAGTATTTAAATTGTGCACGAGGGGAATTGCATCACTGGTCCAGTGGTTGTTAAATAAAGTAGTGTTTAAAACAGTGTCTATTACTAAGAAATCCAGTATGAAGTCTGAAGATAGATAGATAAAGATGAGTTATTACATTACCTTCTCTAGGTGACAGTATTTAGTATTTTTATTTCTTGTGCAATGTGCAAATTTGGGACGATCTAAGAAAACATATTTTCTTTGTAGTTTTTCTTGCACGACTAATAAGGAAATATAACTTTGTGCCTTTCTTAGCTATCTAAACATGATCATAGATAAGGTTTAGAGTACCTAAACAACTAATGAACAAAGATATAGGAATTGGAGTTTAAGATAAGACACATATATAAATAGTAGCTATCTGCTTACACTATAAACAAAATATATTAGTACCCCATAGTTTCAAGGCTTGTCACGGCCCCCGGCTCGCCACCATGTGCGTCCGTGCCCGACCGGCATGACTGCACCAACTCACTGAGCTTACCTGCTCAGCGGCGAGCCGGGAACCGTTCCTCCACGCCGTTCGGGTAAATCCAAGATGGCGCCGACCATGAGGTTGCGTCCATCCATGGCTCCACCCCCCAAAATTATACGAACGTGCGCGTGACGTCACGACGTCAACGCACGCGAACGTTCTGGGGTCAGACCAATTAGAGCCTAGAGAGGGATATTTAAATCCCTAATTCACCCCAGTACCTTGCCCTGTCGTGGTTTCCTGTTCCTGGTTCCCTAGAGTGCGTTTATCTTTGTGAATATTACTTCCTGGTATCCTGATCTTGGCTTTTCCCTGGTTATTCCAAATTCTGGTTCCCCTGACTTTGCTTGTTTAAACGGTATCTGAGTATTTCTGTCTTCCTTGACCTCAGCTTTCCCTTTGACCATTCTCTATCTCTAGAGTATTAGTCCAGCCATTCTAAGGTCCGGTTTACGCTCTGTCCTTTTCTTTTGTATGTATATGTTTACATTAAATGTTAGTTATTAAAAAGAAATAAAATAAAAGCCTATGGAATCAATATGACCCTTATATTAGTATAAGAGAGGTCTCGTTCGTGTCTCTACCCATGGTACACTGCTCACAGTAATAATGCACTAGCAATTATTGCTGCCCAGGTGCTATTAGAATGGGGGGCTGGCACAGGTACCCCATGTTCCCACCTGTGGACATCATGTGGTGACCCTGTCCACCCCCTATATCTCCTCCTTGGCTAGTGAATGTGGGGTATGAAATGTGGGAAAACTAGTTTCCCCTCCAGTCTCCACACATGGTCAATGCGTATGGGCTAATAATCTATTAATAACCTGGAGGGAACCTAATGTCCCCCATGGCCACCACCCATTGGCAGCAGGTGGGGGCCAATAATAAAATATATCAGTGAGGTGGAAATTTTGGCCAGTGTACAACCACCTAAGGTGGCCAAAATTTGGAGAGGTGGACAATGGTATATCAGCCCTTGTATATCTTATTAGTCCATACCGCCACTTATGGTCCCCAGAGTTATAATATTATTCACCTCCACCTACTGCCAATGGGTGTGGTCTGGAATGATAGTCCTCCCAGTTTAATATTTTATTATTAACACATACCTACTGACCAAGGGTGAAGACTGGTGGGGACACTAGGTCCGCCCCAATTAATTTTATTTAATATCCCACATAGGGGGAGCTTTGATGCCCAGTAGCTATGAAGATAAAAGGGAGCCAAAGTCTAGCTGCAAAGTCTAGCATGGCAAAGTCTAGCTGCAAAGTCTTTAGTTTATTATTACACTGAGCAGCCACAGCTTACTCTCTGTTTTGCCAAGATGCCCACACCCACAGCATTGGTTTAAGACTTCCCTTATTCTAAAATGGGAGATATATTGACCACCATAGGATTCTTTAACTATTACACTGATGGCAGCTAGTGCTACCAGTGGCAAATCGTAAAGCAAACAGCTTATATCAACAACCTTTGGTTGTCAAATGTGAAGAGGACATCAGCCAGGGTTTGTGTCCCTAGTAAATGGAATTATATCACCAAAGCCAGCATTTTGAATGTAAAATATTGGCTAAGGTATCAATCGTAAAACCTATACTTTTCAGCTTCTAATAATCCTTTAATGATGGAAATTTAGTCAATTTGAAATAAATAGCCTATTAGAAGCTGATAAACTGCAAAAAAAAAAGAATTCAATTGATGCTATTATTAGCACTATGCTATGTATGTATTCAGTTGCAAAACAAGTTGGTCTGCCTGTGTTAAATGTGCATTATTCAACTACATTCAAGCAAAATATAAATATAAGGAATGGTGTTTTCACTTAAAAATAACATAACGTTGGTAGCTTTAAATGACATCACAACCTGTTCCCAGCTTTTTATATATATATATATATATATATATATATACAGTGCCTTGCAAAAGTATTAACCGCCCTTGACTTTTTCCCTTTTTTGTTACATTACAGCCTTAAGTTCTATGTTTTATTAATTTGAATTTTATGTGATGTTTCAGAACACAATAGTCTAAGTTGGTGAAGCGAAATGAGAAAAAACAGAACATTTGTGCCATACTTACCGATATTTTATTTTCCCAGATATATGCCATGGCAGCACTACGTA